TAGCCCTGCTGATTGATCGTGGACTCGTTAACTCGTTACCATGTGCAACAACTCGGTGACGGCATGAGATGTGCGGCACAGAAATTCAGTTCCTTGTGGTAACATAACAGCGAAGTGCATTATAACCAGTATTTCAGGAAAGGAGGCATCAGGTGTGTAAGAATGAGAACGATAGATATAAGGAAGTAGGAATTGTGCACACACCAGAAACCAGCATGCATACAAGTAATGTCATAAATGAGAAAATTGTAATGCCAAACCATTCGTGGTTCAGCATCACACCACTGGAAGTTACAAATATCTGCATTGATTCTAGTAGAAAACTGATTTCTTTCCATTATGTCTACGTAAAAAACGAGAAGACAAAAGTGGGTGTGTTTGTGTGGTTTGCTTATCTGCACTGTACCTCTGAGTTGTCCAGTAGCGTTTGCCAGCTGTCCTCTAGGGATAGGTCGATCTCCTCCTCCCCCTCCCCCTCCCAGGAGTCCTGGTGGAAGGAGAGCTGCCGTGGCACCTTTGGCAATCCAAACATTGAGTAGGTCTGGAGTTTGCTCTGGAGCTGCTCCAGTCGATCCACCTCCTGCGATTAGATAAAAAACAATTTCAAAAACAGATGTGATTATTTTGAACGGAAACATGAAGAGACGCAAAAGTAACTGTCCATTTGTGCGACTGTTTATTGTTACATTCAAACTGTAAGTAGAGAGGGGTCTGTGTATTATAAGCATACACAATCCCGTCCTTGCTGGCGCCTAGGCCGCTATTCAGGTCTTTGTTCAAGCTGGCAGGCCTTATGTAGTTATGAAAATGAGCTCCGTGCATTGAGACCATCTTAACAATAGGAGACGGGGAGTGGGGTGAGTGCTACAAAACAGTGGAAAGAAACGGAGCGGGAGGATTGTGCTTCTTGAAAACAGTCAACAAAAAGTCAGAAATGTATGGGGGGAAAAAAGATCCAAAGTTAGGACTTCTCTCAATGCAGCTCAATGTTGTTTAACCCTACAATATGGAGGATGCCAAAGGTCCAGACCCAGGTGCAGGATCTCTGGCCCTGAGGGGATTTAAGGGGAACAAATAAATTGAAAAGGGATGGGCCCAGCAATGACAGGTGACTGACAGAAACTGTCTCCATTTGACATCTGCCACTGTTAAGGATGTGACCACAGGGGTGAGATACAATGGAAGGCATGTTTGTGTGTGGGCGCGTGCCTGTCCTTCATTAGAATCAAAGTTGATTATCATTTTCAAAAACCTCTGATCCAGAAAGAGAAAACCTTTGCTTAGGTTAACCTTGCGATCTTTAACGAGAGCTGAAAGGCAGACTGCGTTCCTTTTAAACAGAACCAGGTTTACGCCTTCCCTATTTTCCATTCCTTATGATAAACTTGTTTATCAGCCATGTGATAAAAAGTTAAAAGTAGCAAATTTCCAGAAAGGATGGCGTTTTAAAAATCAAGATAAGAGTAGATAAAACGGAGTGCTAACAGAAGGCTTTTCCTCTACCTACTCATTTCCAGAGCTGCTGGGTGGAAACAAGTGAGCCAACAAGTCAGGAGAACTTTGAAAGGAAATGACTTCACCAGGGCTCAAGGGGGATATGGCCTTCTGACCCCCTCCCACTGCTACTTGCTACTGTTCTGTTTGCTTTTTTAATGTTTTCTTAATCTCAGACATCGTCTGGGCAACAAGCCTGCCTCCTACAGCCCTTTATAGCCAAAAGAAAGTGCAGCACTTTCACTTGGAACAGCAATTGCACTCGCTTCTGTGATCATGTGATCACAACCCTGTCGGCATTACCTTGCCAAAAGACCCCGCTCCAGCGCTGGAACTGAAGAAGCCACTGAAGCGGCTGGCAGCACGGTTCTTCCAGCTGTCGGGCCCAGCCCCTACAGCAGGTAGAGAGCCACCGATCTGTCCCAGAGCATCTGGGGCTGGGATATTCGCCTCACCCAGAAACTCTGTTATGTTCTTCCTCCGTCGGGCCTGACCCTGCGAGACAGAGAGAACAGACAAAAATCAGTTACACGATAGACCGTAATAGGAGGGAAAACAGAAAATGAAAGAGAAAAAAAAAGATCCAATGAGTGAATGAGGGGAATTATAACTGTTTCCAGCCAGACGCATCGAAAGAGACAATGACGAAATGATAGGACAAACAGGAAATCTGAAAGGGGAATTCTGAGCCAGGGATGACATCAACAGGACCGTTAAAACTCTCCAAATGCCTGGACACAAACAGGAGAGGGAAGGACTGCCACTTCCTCGCTGTGTATGTTCACGGCATCACAAGGAGCAGGCGGGAGGTTGTTCCAAAAGAACAGACGGCCGAGTCTGGCCATTGTTCCCTGTCCATTGTTACCCTGTCAGCAGGCCCTGGCGTGCGCCCTCGCTCATGCAATCTCTGTACACTTTACGAGCAGCAGCAAAGCAAACAAACAGGGGCCACCTCAGTATCTGAGGAAGCAGTTGTTTTTGTCGTCGGAGTGTCAATGCTGAAGAATCTGCTGGTCAGGAGTCAGCAAGAGGCAGGACATCGACACCCCCCCACACTTCAAACACAGCAAAAGGAACTCACATTCCTGGACACTGACACCATTTCTGAAACTCGCCGTCCATTCCAGTGAAATTCTTTTACTCATCACCCCCCCCAGAAACACAAACAAGCCTACACAAACACAATGTGTTAAAAACACCAAGCGGCTGCACTGATGGATATCACAGATGCACTTTCCAATTCTTCTGGTCCAAAACTGTCAAGACTCGTGAAATTTCACAAAATAGTAAACAGCCAGTTTTAATTCATCACAGCCTAAAGTTTACTATGACAAATAACTGACATATAATTTGAGGACTATCAAATTTTAAAATGCACCACGGATTAAAGCAAACTAAGACTGCACTTGACTTTTACTTTAGGGGAAATTGCAGGAACAAGAAGACTAGATAAAAAGCCTTGATTACTTGTAAAATGTAAACGGTTTTCAAGATAAAGTAATGATAACTGCCTGTCACCATAAAACGTTTCTAGCATGTATATGTTACACAATGGAATGTAAACTGAAGCTAAAAAATGAAAATCTCTGGCTGAAATGTTACATTGTAAAGACTCATTTCAGGAGGGCCTTAATGGTACCACTTAACTACAATGAAGGTGCATAAGTGTCCTATACAGGGTTGCATAATGAGTAAGTAAATCTAAATTTTCAAGGGGCTTTTAGTCCTTTCATCGTTCAGGAGTTATTACCAAAGAGAGCAGTGACCTAACTGCAGAGTGACATCTTGGCTTTAAAACAAAAACTAAAGTGAAAGAGGGGAAAGGGACAAATTTGGAGGCGCTTTAGTTGAAAGGGAAACGAGCATGGAGCCATTTAGGGACTTTTTGTTGGTCCAACTGGTCAAGGACACAGGTGGTAGGAAGTGCCGAGTCCCCATGGTCAAACAGGGAAAATCTGAACCCTGTGCTACTGAGAGCGCACGACTGGTCAAACTGAAACCTGATTCATTTGTCTGACTTTGCTGTACGAGGCAATCAAAGAACAGGGTTTTATACATTTAAAGGAGGCTGTAATAACGGCAAAGAAAAGCAGCTGAAGTATTTCTACATATCAGATGGCATACATGAAGGAAACTTTGGATCAGAAATGAACACCGTGAACAGTTTAAAAACCTGTTTTTGAGGAAACCACTTTCATAAAGCCTCAAGGCCAGGAAGTTGTAATTATAACCACCAAGGGATAAATGCCATCAGCAGTTTCCCACCATATTAACAGTGCTCACCATTGAAGCCAGCGGCATGTCAAAAGTAACAAAAACCATCCTAATCCTTCAATTGGATTCATGGATCGCAGCCCATTCTGGAGCCAGCTGCTGCTCTCTGTCAACCTCTCGCCTCCTCTCTTTCCACTTCCACTGTGACACACACATCCACGTCGTCCTCGCTGTTCAGTTCAGCCGATGCAAAGTCAGTCAAAGGAGTCGAGTGACAGCTACAACACTGCCACGTTATTTCACCATCAGAACTTGAACTTCAATAAGTCTGCAAACGCCTATTCCGGCTGACAGGATCCGGGTTACCCGCCGCGTCCTGCAGAGTCCGATCGCAGCTTCTCTTTGAGCCGGGACGTATCTGTGTCCTGTCCTGCTGTTCCGACAGCGGTGAACCTACTCACTGAGGCGCTCAGCCTGCTTGCATTTCACACACGCACTGGCCAGAAGTCATAGCAACCAGGAGGATCCTGCCTCATTGTGTCGGGCAGGAAAGAGGAGGCACCAGAGGAGGCTGATCTGAATATTAGGAGGTGGAGCTTTTGCGGCAGCTTTCAGGGAGCTCCCTGGTTTGAACAAGCATCCTGGTACTTGTGGTGATGCCAAATGGTCTTTAGTGTCAACAGGCTGCTCTGAAGTACAAATAAACTATCAACTCCCTGCTTGTGAATCAGGCACACTTTGGTTTTCTTTCCTCCCCCAAAGGATCCCCCCCCCCGATTAGCCCTGCTTGTAGTGCAAGCAAATTGCAGTTTGGATACTTCGTATTTTAATCTCATTTGGACGCAAAGCCATTATTCTTTGCCATCTTTAATCACTGTTTTGCTTTAGAGATCCTTAAACAATGCCAGGCAACGGAGTCAAAACAAGGAAAGAAATTCCCCAATAATGACCAAAAGGGAAATCCCCTTTGTTTACTTGCTTGTTTCAGCACATTCAAAATGCTGCGTATGCCAAGCAGATAAGCTCGAGCGGGTGCACAGCTTCTCAAGAAGAAAAGGCTCAAAACTTTCTAGATAAAGTAGATTAAGAGAGAATTAAGTCCAGAGATTGTTGGGGTTGTGTGAGTTTACATTAGCTGTTTTCTTGTCAGTATCTCAGGATATTTGGGCTCAAGATCAAACAAAAGTTGTAATTGGCACTTTGGCACACTGAATAAATCTAATCAGATTATATAATATGCATAACAATAGATCTTCACTACAAGAACTATACAACAGTTGGTAACAACTCTAAACATTACAGTCAAAGAAATGCTTTCATTATATTTATCTTAGTAATTACACTGCCCATTAGTCCTTCAGTCAGACCAAATATTGATGAGTCACAATAATAAAACCAACTAACATAGGTCTTCTTGTTACAACGCCTGCAACACAATGTTTTTTCTGGATTACTTTGAATCCCGACACACACAATGGTTTGATGACACTCCCCAACAAGCACAGCTACACACCCTGCCATACTGCAAAACCTGGTGCTGGTTTGGTTCCCAAACTCTACAGACCCCAATCTGATCAGTCATCTGAGGAATTAACCTAAACAGGTCCTGTCAATGGAAGCCATAACCTGCCACCAATAGGACTCAAAGGATCCAATAGCACCATCCTGGTACCAGACAACACAGACATATTCTGTGATCCTATGTTTTGGTGGCATAATGAGGACCTGGTGGCAAACATTAAGCCGCTCAACTCATTTCTGCCCAACTAACTATGTTTACAAGCTTTACCTCAGGCCTACTGTGTAAACCTGACCTGAGCGGTCTCTGTTATAAAGCAACTCAATCTGGGAACAGACTTGTGCAGCAGGTCTAGTTGGGGCCAGTCAGGTTAATGATATCAAGCACCGAGCTTGCCCACACAGCCTTATCTTATCACTGTAGTTTGTAGCATCAACCTTGGCCTGTAAAGAAGAACAATCGTTAAATGGGAAGGGATTGTATTGAAGTAAGTGGTGACAAAGAGAAAAGTAGTGCCCCCCCATTACTCACTGTGCCCCTGCAACTACCTTTATGCAACTGATAACGACTTCCCTTGATCAGGAAAGTTGATTAACGATGGGAAAAAGCGTGCACACTGACCTTCCTCAAAGCTTGAATACACACCAGCTTAAGCAATAAAACACACATAACGTGTGCTTAACCAGGAAATTAAAGCTGAGAGAAACTCCACGTTAGTCAACACACGCCACAGGTTAACCCAAAGCCATTGAATTTGTTATGATCAAGGCCCGATGACAACCCCAAACGGCGGCACAAAAAGAAACCGAGGCTTAGAGCTTAAGGTGAGAGAAGGGAGTTAAAACAAGACTCCTGATACTTTACCACAACCCAGCAATCCTCACAGCAAGTGCACTAAATTATTTTCTCAGTCATGTTTCCAGAAGATCAAAGTATATGATTGCATTGGATAAATAAACTAACCATAACCATTTATGGTTGGTTTACTGTGACTAGAGATTGACAGTATTTGATTTACTTTATTATTTCATCTCTAAACAGAAAATATAAAATAGGATTTACTACTGAGAAATGTAAAGTCTTAACAACAGTTCAAAAACTAAACAGATTGAAAAAACACTTCAACTCAGTAGATTTAATGCACATGTGCCAAATATTTTCCATTTTTTAAAAAGCAATCATTTGATTAAAAAAAATGACTCAATTATTTGTTCACTGCAGCTAAAAAACAAAAACATATTTTTTTAGACAAAGAAAAGCAGTAAAAAATACTCAGATCTTCCACTGCACTTTGACCAATCAACAGGCCTCTCACCTGACTCTCAGTTAATGTTGGTGTCGGTGGTTCAGGAATCTCCGTGTCCACATTCAGTAGGTCCCAGCTGCGCCAGGATGTAAGACGGACAAAACGAACCATTTTCCACAGGAAAAAAATTAAATTCAATAAATAAGACCCCCGATTTGGGGAAAAAAGGTCCCGAATAATCAGAAAAGCAGAGGCACTTCCAGTAAATTTAGGAATTCATTTCCAGGAAAGCACAGTCCTGACAACAGTGCAAGCAGAGTGAAGCATCACACTTTCTTCTCTTGCATAAGTCTCACTCTGTCTGCCTAAGCCTTCAGGTACTGTGTACGGAAGACCAAAGGTCACACAATCACAATCATAAAGGTGTGTGTGTCTGCCCTGCCGAAATCTCCTCCTCCGGGCATTAGGGGAAGTCCTTTGTCTTTCCAGCACACGAACACGCCTCCTCACCCTTCT